GTGGGCATATCTTCAGCAATGGAATTGCGGGGTTATAGAGTGGTTTTAAATGTTAACTTTTTGAGAACTGCCAGACTGTGGCTGTACTATATGCCTCAGCAATGTTCTAACATCTCCATATCCTCGCCAACACACGCGACTTCCTTATTGATTGGGCATCCTAGTAGATGTAGGGCGGTGTGATTGACTTTTTTTTCAGCTTTTACTTCACAGACAGCGTTTGTTTATAGGAGAAAAATCCATGACTCAAAAAGGCTAATGCTTATGTCGAATCTAAACCTTAAGTCCACTACAGAAGTCTGAAGAGGTAGAAGCAGTCTCCTATGTGGCGAGGAGTGGACTGGTCTTTTATCCAGAGATGAATTCTGTTTTAAGTTGCTTGGCTTCTCTGAGCGAATGCCAATCCCTGGTGGCAGATTTGTACAATTGTCCTTATCTGCTTTCCTATTCTTCCTCGCAGTAATCTAACCTCCTCGAGTTTTCAGTGGATATCAGGCTGCTCAAGCTGAGCTCTCACTCCTTAGGCCTCCTTGCAGCTAAGGGCAGCCACGTCCTTAAGTTTTTAGTCAATAGGATATTGATACATACAACTTTTAGACTACATTTAAATAAGAAATCAGTTGCCATTTCATTCTGATATTTTCTGTGGCTTTGAAATGGCAACTGCCAGAGCAGCTTCCTTAGACACATGCTACTGCATGCTAAGGATAAGCAGTGCACTACCAGGTTGTCCATCTGTCCTGGGTGACTCTCAAAAACAGAGAGGTTCTGTGAAAGAGAAATGAACTTTAGTTGTATCAAGGGCACTATATTTTGGAGTGTCTTGGCTACACAGTCTAATGTACACTCTAGCTCACATACTTTCTACTGGTTATCTGACTGATAAATGGTATGGAGTATTTTTCAGTTCCACAATCTTGACTGTGTCCTGGATGCTTGTCACTTTCAATTCACTGCGAATTAGCATTTATTAGAAGTTTTGGTGTGTGAAGTAAAATCCACGGAGCCCAGCATGAAGAGTGCACTGTTAAGTGATTCTTCCAGACTCTCCAGATGTTCTTTTTGGATAAAGATGCACCATCAGAGAACAGCACACCTGGCCTGTCTTGATTTAGCCCCTTGGAGAATTGCTCCCTAGATCTGAGCTTTGGCCTCGTGCCATCAGCCCACACTAAGGAATGCTAGCAAACAACCCTCTGAGCCCCACTGATGCATGTCCTGGGAGATGCATTTGAGGATGTGGTTTGCTACCCTTTGTGAGGACCTAAGGGAATCATTTCCTTTAGACCATGTACCAGGAACAGTCATGCTTCTCCTGAGCAACTGGCTTGTTTTGTTTTTTGTGGACACTCCACATTGTGTAACTGCCTGTGCCTTTCAAAGCTACCTCGAATCCTCTGGGAACCAGACAGAGGATAAAATAAAGCTAGTCAGAGCCCAGACCATACTTACTATTTACCTCATTATACTGAGTTTAGAAAAGCCACTTCACTTGGCTACTTTTCCTTTGCTCGCACATTAGGGACACCCAGTTCTTCCCACAAATCCAGTGTGCATTACAATTTATAATGCAATTTATAGTTCTCAGTGCAGCACACTATGGGAATGAACAGTGATCTTTAGCCTTTGTACATCTCTGCTATGTTGTAATAGCCTCTCATGTCATGTCTTTCCGGAACTTCATTTGTTCATTTGTCTAGCCCGTTCAAGGACATATGGGTGCACCAAGCCCTCTGGAGGAATGGAGTTTGGTACGTCTGGACCCTTGCTCTCCAGCAGCCTGAGGAGTTGAGGACGCATTTCACACCAGACCCGACTCTGGTCTTCTCCAACATGCTGCAGGGCAGTTCCTTGCTGGTCCTCTCTCATTCTTAAATGCCCACTGACATGATTAGTGAAAGGCTCCCCACCTTGTAGCTAGGATCACCAGTTCAATGTGCTCGATTGAGGGCCACAGTGCTGATCCTGGCTCCGCTACTTACAAGTTGAACGGCTTTGGACATGCTCCTGAACTTCTTGAAGCTGTTTCCCACAAATATAAAAAGGGAGCAACATCTACCTTTCAGAGTCACGGTGAGGACTTAAAAAAAGAAAAAGGAATATATATCAAACACTTACACAGTGCCTGCCCTCTACAGAAAAGCCAATGCTATCAAATCAACTCTGCATCCAGGCAGCCCCACACGTGTCAGAAGAGAGTTGTTCCACAAGGCTTTCTGGGCTGTATTCTTGATGGAAGCAGATTGTTGTCGGACTTTCTTTCATGACACTGCTGGAGTGTAGGGGGAGGTCAGATGCTTAGACATCCTCCCTGGAGGCAGACTGCTGTCTCCCTACACCATAGGGGTGGGCCTGCTCCCTGCTGCTGGAGACAATGGATTACTTCTCCCTAAGGCTTGCGACCATTAGCTTGGTTCCTGTAGGTGGAGTTCACACCCTACTGCTAATGGTCTCTTTCAGTTGAGCCAGGGAACTTGTCAAACAGGCTCTGTGACATCCAAAGTTAGGCTGCCATCCTGTATCTAGGATCCACCCATCTTGCCCGTATACCCCCAATCCCTCCTCTTCCTATTGTGTGGATACCCCTAGGCCACCCCCTCCCATTACTATATTACCTATAGCACAACCCCTTCCTATGATGTATGTCTTCTCCTGTAATTAGGGGGCTTGCATGTTCCCAGAGAATATAAAAGCCTTGGTTAACATTAAATATTCTCTCTCTCCACGTGGACCACCAAGCAGGGCTGAGGTGAGCATGCTATCATGAATTGTATCTGACTCCATTTATTTCTATATTTCTCTTCTTTCTCTCATGCTCTCTATAACTTTACTATAATCTTTACTTATTATCACTGTACAATTGCGCCTACTGGACCCGTAATGATGTGCTAGGCTGGTTTCTCCTGGCACTGGAGGGGTTTAAAGGACCAGCCTTTAGGTTCATACTGGAGCATAAATTGTTTTTGCCATGAAGGTACTTCTTGCCAGCTCTATGCTTCATACCTTTGGAGTCTGGGTATTGTTGTTCAAAACTACAAAACAAATAATAAAAGGGGAAAGAGTGGGAACTATACTTTCCTTTTTTGTGTGATTTATGGGATCATCATAAGGGATAGAAGTGATTACAGATCTAAAAATCCATTGAAAACTGGATGCTTCCTTTGTTTGTTGGTTTTTTGGCTATTGTTTACCATGTTGGTTTGGACCCTTCAGGGATGCCATGAGGTGCACTGGTACTGAGAGGAAATGAGGGGAGAGTTGGGAAGACTGTTGAACTGCCCTACCAGGAGGGAGGTCTGACTCCCAGTAAAGAAAAGACGTTGGGAAGGTTGGGTTGAGGCTCTGAGACCACTACACTGCCCAGCACTGAAGGCTTGGCGAAGGGAGTCAACCCCATGAGGCTGCCTTGGAATCTCTGCCGCGCTCTGTCACTGGCTGGGAGTGTGCTGCGGAAGGCCTGGCCTCAGCACAAAGAAGTGATGGGTTTCACAGTGGCCCTTGGGGACCCTTGTCCATTTGACTATAGTTGGCGCCCTACTGTGGCCAGCACCCTTACCATGCTAATGAATCTCTTTTCTGAACAAAAGACCCAAACTATTAATTTTGAGTGCCCTGATGTGCAAGAACGTTCTTCCCAGGAAATCTGATCATGCCACTCTTCTTGGAAGGCCAATAAAGAGTACACAGAGCTCTGATCAAGAGCAGAGGGAATTGTGAACATGCTCGTTGTCTTCTGGTTAGTGGCAAGGCTGTGTGTGTCGGAGTAGGAGTGTGCTCTTAAAGACTGTTATGGCTGTGTACCCCAAATTCATCACCAGGCCTTTCAATGGAGGCTCCTCTGGATGGATGCCCGCGTCCAACCTTTTGGGGAGCAGTTGACTGAGTTAACTACTTGCACGACTCGGGGATGCCTCTTAGAGCCTGGCTGCTGCTTTGACCATAACCGCGGTTGGGTCTGACCTGCTTTTAGGTGAACCAAGGAACTGGCGCGCCTGGAGAGAGTTCACAGGAGCAAACTCAGTGCTCGCATTTTGAATTGGCATCTTTTCTTTCCTCAGGCAGCACCTCTATCCACTGCCATTGCGGGGCTTCAGAATCACACAACCCTTTGGACGGTGTCTGAGGCTGCCAGTCTCTAAGGGAGCAGACAGCTTCATCTTTCTCCCGAGGACTGGCTGGTGAGCTTGAACCACCGACCGTGTGGTTGTGGTGGAGTGAATTTTCTTCATAGGGCTCTTCTACCCAAGTTTCAGTAACTCTCACAAAATGATTGGAGTGACTACACAAATAGGGTGTGCATAACCCTACTCGATGGAACGGTCAGTTTTCATTCCCTCCCTCCCCCCTCTTCCCCACCTGACCATGAACCATTTTGAAGAGAGAGAGCTCCCCGAGGACCCTGAAGAGCACTTTCAAGATCTGTCAGAAATGGAGGGGGCCACGGAGACCAGATGCACAGAGACTCAGAGGAGCAGGGCTGGGCCTATAGGGCACCTTCTCCTCATCTGGCTGAGACGATGGCACTGTAGGACCGAGCAACAGAAAGTGGGGCTTCCTAACCCATAGAGGCAAAGGTCAAGGGCCTAGGTGGTTGAGCGACTGAGGACTGGAGGGAGACTGTGCTCCCACCTGGCTGAAAGGCTGAGAACCAGAGAAATAGACTTGGCTTCTCGCTGCGGAGACCTGAGACTGTGTCCTTACTGCCGTGTCCTGGCTGATCCTAACTTTGGTTAACCTATTGACTTCCCTAATAAGCCCTCTTCCTGTGAGTATTGTCCATGAGTTCTGTATGGCCACAACATAGATGCAGAGAGGTGGGAGGAAGGGCTGGTGTCAGAAGAGGTAACAGAGGGTGGAGCGTGGTGAAGCCTGTCTGACTCTTGCTTCATGGCGGTAGGGAAGCCCAAGGAGGTCAGATAGCTCCACCTCCATGCCGATCATTACAATGATTAGCAGTGCCACGACTTCTCCAACCAGTGCCTTTTGAAAGAGCAGGGAATATACTTACCTGGCAGGGAGATACCATGATCTGGAGGGTGGTTTTCCCAGGGTGAGGCTCACCCATTGCACTGCGGATGCGCTGACCCCTGCGATTTCCCCAACTGTGGGAAACTCGACTGCATAATTTGTGGTAGTGGGGGACTGCCTCGCCCTCTCCCCTGTTAAAATAAAAAAAAAGGAGAAAAAAAGAGCAGGAAAAACCCTCTTCTTTTAAGTAATTACTTAGACTTGAAAAGTGCTTCATATGCCATACCCTTATATACCATTTATATATGTTTTCCATGAAATTGTCACCAAAATCCGGGGGACAAGGACTCCCTATTTCAAAGGTGAAAGAAAGTGAGAAACAAAAAGGATTAACACCTTGTCCAAAGCACATGGCTCGTCAGTGGCTGAGGATTTTGACCCCAGGCCATCAGTTTTTCAGGTTTTGTCCTTGCCTCGCAGGATTGAGAAGCACCTCTAATTTAACAACAACAAAAAAAGCAATGTTCTTAATCTTTCTTATCACTGCTCCCAGTTTGAGGGTCCTCATTTCATAAACGATGTGAAACTACTGGAGAGGCTTCTGAGAAAAGTCTCCACTAGTTTGAGACGGGCCTATGAGGCGTGTAGATGGGAGTTGAAGTCCCTCATCTTGGAGGAGAGAAAGCTGAAAAATGACTTTCGTGACTGGCTTTCCATCCATCAGGGGTGTAGACATGGACAACTTGTTCTCCATCTCCAAGTTCATCATCAGAAATGGGGCTTAGTTCAGATTCGCGAGAGATTTTGGAGTTCTCAGGTTATCAACAAATAAATTACCAAGACCACCTGCGAAAGTCGAAGAGCTTACCAATAAGAGTGACTCTAACCAACTGGCTGGATTCCGACTTGCTAATGGGGTGAAGAAGGAGTCCTGGGGATGCAGTGGTTAAATGCTCAGCTGCTGACCAAGAGGTTGAGGGTTCGAACCCCCCCACTGTTCCAGAGGAGAAAGATGGGGTGTCGGCTTCTGTAAAGCTCGAAGCCTTGGAAACCCCATGGGGTAATTCTTCTCTGTCGTCCAGGGTCACCGTGTACATTAGCATCTACTCACCTGTGCAGGGCTTGGCTTTTAACCGGTAAGGAAGGGACTGGGAATCCCTGCCGACCGGCACGTGCCCATGCAGTCCTTTGAGAACTGCTGTGGAAGCTACAGCAGGAATTGCCTAACTTCAGGTGGACGCTGACTAGGATCAGCTGAAAGCTGATTCCTGTGAGATGAAATCAGCTCAGCGACACCTTCATCCTCCAACATGTCATCCTTCCTGACTCCACCCAGGCTCTGTCGTTCTCCATTCTGTGTTTGATAATCGATTGCAATGACTGCACTTTGAGAACTGATATAGAGGGTGAGTATTGGGCGAAGCTGCAAAGATAAGTTATCACCTTTCATCCAGTTCACTTAAAATGAAAGGGGAATTTAATATTTATGAAGGACATAGTATGTTAGGTCACGGCATGGAACCCGAGGAACGGTTCCGTGGGGTAGGTATCATGATGATCTCATGATAAAGGTGTGGAGACAAGCACCAAGATACCCTGAACTGAACCCATTGCCATAGAATTGATTCTGACTCTTGGCCACCTGTCCATCACAGTGTAAAACTGCCCATTGGGATTTCTTGGGAACGCAGAGAGGTTAGCGAATATTCCAATGCGTCCAAAACAAGGAAGTGGCCCCTGATTCCCGGAGCACTTCACCACCACACTGTAGCCCATCAATAGGACCAAGAGAGGTGGATTAGATAGGTAATTTAATCCATATGGAATAAAAGGATTATATTCAGAAGACAGAGCATGCATGGACCTATCCGACTCCATTGATTTCTGACTCAAGGTGTTGGATCCCTTAGTCTTTTGTGATGAAGTGCCACTAATTTGAGGGCTGAGAGGAGCAGAGATTTATTCTCTCTCGGTTCTGGAAGCCAGCAATCTGAAATCAGCCTGTGGGCAGCGGTGATTGCTTCTGGAGGCCCTAACAGAGAATCTGTTCCTTGCCTCGCTTGTGGCTTCTGCTGGCTGCTGGTGATCCTCAGCGCTTCTGGGCTTTGGAATGCATCACTTCAATCTTTGCCTCCGGGTGGTGTCTTCTATTTCTGCCTCCTCTCCCTCTGTCTTTCTCTTCTGGTAAGGACATCTACCGTTGGATTTATAGTCCACTCTAACTCCCGAATAATCTCATTTCGAGACTCTGAGTTACATTGGTAAAGACCCCTCTCCCAACTGTGGCCATATTTAATAGTTCTGTGAGTGTACCTATCCTTTGGTGGAGAGACTTTGACCCCTCTCCCCCACCCCCTGCTCCCAGCATGCCTTCTCTCATCCCTTTCCTTAGAGAATCCTGTTGTGATTCATTGTCTGCTTGCTCGTGTCTGTAGCTTAGGGGCGGGGGTTGCAAATTGTTCTGAGTATTGGTTGATCAACACATGCCATTTTACATTTCTGGACAGTATATGTATCCTAAATTGGTCAACTCAGACAGACTAGAAGTCTTATCATTCCTGATTGGGTGACCAACATTCTCTCTTTCTCTAGTTGGGCATTAACAGAGCGGCTTGTTTCTCTGGGTGCTGCTAGGCAACCATCTTTCCATCTTGCAAAGGTGTGGCCTGAGGGCAAACCTGACACACTCAGGCAGCAGTGGGTAGATGGCAGGAACCTGGGTTGTTGAGATGGCTCTGTTACCAGTCAAGGAATCCAGAAGGCATGCTTGATCTCTACACTTTGGGATGTGAAATGACCAATGTTTCCCTGTTTTGACAAACTGAAATCACACACTTCTGACAATAGGTGATTCATTGGAAAAGTGAAATAACTTACAATCAAGAATTAGTTGCAAGAACATGACAGAAACCTGAGATTAATTGAAATAAGTGAAACAGCCTTTATTCTTTACACAATAAGTACAGAAATTTTAAGAAAAGAATTTCTAAACCATGGAAATTGCAGATCTGCCTCTTTTTTATTGTTAAGGTAAGTTTACGAGCAAATGCAAAGGAGTATCCACTCACATAAGCACTCAAATAAATAATGCTAACATTTGGTTTATATCCTGCTTGTCTTTGATTGTCGATAAAATAATTTATGTATCTATAAATGAATGTTATTTATGTTAGTGCTTTTAAAAACAAATACATATGTCATATATATGTAACTAGATTCATAATTTGGATAGTTGGAAATCATCATATGAGAATTCCAAAACACTGAATTGTGTTCATGCCAGACCTGCACATGGATCAAGAGAAAATCCTTAGAACAAAACAAGGGAATACAGCATAGTTTCAAATCAGGAAAGTGTACATCTGAGTTTTATCCTCTCGCCATACTTATTTTATCTGTATGCTTCGCAAATACATCCTCAAACTAGATTATATGAAGAACACAGCATCAGGATTGGAGGAAAGCTTATTAATAAGCTGTGATATGTAGATAACACAGCCCTGCTTGCTGAAACCAAGAAGAACTTGCAGCATTTGCTGATGAAAGCCATAGACTGCAGCCTTCAGTATGAATTACACCTTGATGCAAAGAAAATGAAAGAAAACCCTTGGATTAATAAACAATATCATGGTAAATGGAGAAAAATTGAAGTTGTCAAAGATTTCAGTTTGCTTAGATCAACTATCTGCTAGTGGAAGCAGCAGTCAAGAAATCAAAAACTGTATTGCACTGGGCAAATCTGCGTAGGGTCTCGAATGTGTTGAAGAGCAAGGATGCTACTTTAACCACTACGGTGTGCCACACCGAAGCCATGGTGGCTTCAGGCATCTCAGAAGCCTATAAGAGTTGGACAAGGAATTAGGAAGACAGAAAAGGAATTGACGCATTTGAATTAGGAGGTTGGTGAAGAATATTGATAGTGTTATGGGCTGCCAGAGAACAAACAAATCTGCCCTGGGAGAAGAACAGCCGAATGCTCCTTAGAAGTGAGGACGCTGAGATTTTCCCTTATAGTTATCAGGAGAGAGCAGTCCCTGTTACCAAGCAGGAAGCCATCGTGCTTGATAAGGCAGAGGGTCAATGAAACAGAGGAAGAGGCCCGGGGAGATAGATGGACACAGGAGCTGCAACAATGGGCTCACACACAACCACACTTGTGAGAACGACAGGATCAGTCGTTTATAGACATCTAACCAAAATGGACACCTGCCACGTTAGTAGGAAACAAAATGCTTGTAACTCACAGTTGTTTCCTTAAGTCATCAGTGACCTTGGTCATGGATATAGTTCCAAAGTTTCCCTCTCAGAATCATGGGAAAAAGGCACAATTCTTGGAAATGAAATAGAAATGAATAAAATAGGAACATTTAAAAATGGGAAATGTTGAATACTATAGAAAAGTATTTAAAGACAACTAACTGGTTTGCTACATTTCTCTACTGTCCATTGAAATGATCAATATTGGAGAAAGTAGTGATTGAGAATATCTGTTTTTGACTGTTGTTATCATGAGTTTTTTCCTTGATCACTTGTTTTTTTGGATTTCTGGAGATAATTGCTAGGCTGAACTAGACGTGATGTGGCATTTGACCAGGAAATGTTAGGGTGATCAGCTTGTCCACATTTCCCTGGGGCTCTGCTGGTTTGAAAACAGAGAATTCTATGTCCTGGAAACTCCCTTAGTTCTGGATTAAGCAGGGCAGTTGGCCACCCTGTGAAATTTCCTTCCTCTCAAAGCTGGCGAGTAACGTGAAACCCTTCTACTGGGAAGAGTGGAGGCCGTTTGAAGCATTGTCTGGGGGCCCAAGAGGTGACAGTGACTAACCCTAACTGCTCTTTCTCTTGTCCTTGGCAAGGACAGCACAAAGGCAAACAAATAGTTGGAGCTACAGATACTTAAAATGTTGACTCAGGTGAGTTAGACTGACCGCGCCATAATCTCCACCTGTGTTTGGAGATAGCCACCATGGCCGGTCCCCCAACTCCCTTAATCCTCTTGCGTCCATCTGCCCACTCTGGATTCCCTAGGGGTCTTAGGAGCCTAGACACTCAGAAGTCAACCAGAGGGAGATGTGAGCCAGTCGGTGGTGAGAAAACCAGATGAGGACATCCCATAAGGAAGGGACAGGAGGCTGGTGATGTAGTGACGTAAGCATCGGGCTGCAAAGTGCAAGGTTGACCGCTCAGACTCACC